AGCTCGGATTTGTACCCTCCCAACCCTTTTCACCACGTAATTTCGGTCGAGGAGGTCATAGTAACCTTAGGGAACCTTACCTGGCAACTGAAGGCTCTAAAAACCTCCTTAAACAGACTTGTAGAGGAAGGCAGCAAGTAGTGGCGGCAGCTTCGCGAGCTGACCTGGCGGCATCTCGTCGAAATTTCAGCGCTGAGAGATGCCGCCAGGTCAGAGAGCACGAAAAATAGCATGCTCTTTTGGGAGATCAAGGTGCCACCATCCTGACGTGCCCCTACCATGTCGAGGTGGTGGCACCTTGCTGGCGCCGTCTGCAAGTTTGGGTAGTGCGGCAATACCACACATTCCACGTCAAGCACAAGAACCAAAAAAATTCGTTTTCCGTAAAAAACCATCGTTATTTTCGTTGTACTTTCCTCGTTAGAATTGATGCTAATTATGTAGAAGAGATCTAGTAATTTTATAGAACAAAAAAAGAACGTCATCTTCTTTTCGCAAGTCCTCTAAATCTTGTTTGCAACAATTTTGGCTCTCTCGTGCTCATATCGCTCAGCTGTTTTCCAGGTCAACGTCTATCGCGCAAAGTATTGATCATGCCCTCTCACGGGCGCTACTGACCTGTACGTTCCTGTAATGGCTGCCGCAAATAGAGAGAAATTGGCCGCGTGGTTGAGCGGTTAGTGCGGCGGCGCTGGAAGTTGACGCACGCGGGTTCGAACGCGATCGGCGCTATTGTTTTGCGATTGTCTGAGTCATCAAATCTTCATGTGAATAGGGATTGCGAACCAAGACTATATGAGTTTACCAAAACCTAAAAGCAATCGCGAGATGCCGCCGGAGTTGGCAACTTTCCGTGATGTGTGCCAACTTGGCGGCATCTAAGATGCCGCCAGGTAGGGTAGATTACTACCGGCCCAGAAGTGTGGCAGCCACACCTTTTCTGGGGTTCACACCCTATTAACTGACTTCAAAGAAAATTCTAGCCAACAATATATAGTGTATGTCCCGGCCAGCCTCCCATAGGGAGCGGACATACTATTCCTGTGGTTCCTGTGATTCCTGTGATTCCTGCGGGCCTTGTAACAATGTATATTAAGCAATGTGTACTGAAATTAGCAAAGCGCTCCGTAGTGCGGCACGTCGGAAGGCAGGAATCACGGGAATTGCAGGAGTTACACGAATAGCGGAAGTCACCTCCTGGATTAGTATGGCCGGTCCCATAGGTTCCTCGGCGACGCATCCGCTGCGCATGCCTCCAATGCGTTTCCTGTAGCGTCTGCTAAAAGATTTCTCGTCTCTCTCTTCTTTTTGGTTTTGTTGTTTACATTCTATCTGTATCAGGCGTTTCAGGAGCAATTTACCGCAATTTTCTCTGTGTCTCTTTCTTGGCATACTATTTCTAGAGACCATCGCTCATATCATTTCCCATGACTCGGCAGGGAGATGATCGAACCCGACCTGAGGCTCACTTGTCAGGTGACTTGCATATTTACACCATGGGAAAGTGAGAGGTGGTCATTTTACTGACATAACCTCAGATGAGGGCCTCAGGGGAGATCATCTTCCATGACCGAGCTTTACTACGGACCATTGCGATCACGCATACCAGACCGTAGATGTGACGCAAACGAATAGCGGTGAGGACGCGCATCATGCTAGTTTCGGAGTGGAGCCCATACGCCTAGTATTACTCTAAACTAAACTCAGTCGTTGTATTTGCCACTCAGCTGTGCGTGTTTTGATTTGTGAATTCAAAATCCAAATTTTCACTTTGCTCCGGTAGCCCCTTGTAGGAGGTGCCAGTAGGCTTTATTTCACGGCGTAAAAACCGGGTGTAAAAACCTTACATTCTGACTCCACTTTCAATGCATGCTTGAAGCTAACGATATGAATATGCTTTTTACGTGCAAATTTGCCTTGATACTTCGCAGATTGGGTTGAGCCGAACCTAGCTTAAAACAGCAGTATTGTCGGAAGGCATGACAACGAGAGTTAGGTAGAGTGTTTCTCAACTATCTTGATCGTCCAGCTTTTCAAACAGATTCTAAAAGTACTTCATAGGTACTACATGTACTTGCTTCTAATCATTTGCAGTAAGAACGAGATTAAGTCCCCAATGGTGACAAGCGGACTGGAATTGGCTTTCTTACCTCACTTGTTTTGAAATAGCTCTTGCACAATTAACGTGCTCCCCCGTGCTCCTTAAAAAGAGCGCGAAACTCAAAGGTGATGTAATAAAAGCAAGTGGCTTGCTGTTTATAGCGTACCAATTAAATAACGCAAATATGGAGCACATGTATACATCATTCCTTGCGAAAAGATTGGGTTGGCTAATAAATAAGTCCGGTCGCTTTTGCGACTCTTACAAATGCTGCAGACAAATTTATGTCCAGTCTTTGGTATTTCTAGAAACAGCACTTCAACGGGAATTGAAGTATAAATTTTGTTTGAGTAAAACTTATATTCCAAAGAAAAAATCCGCAAAGAAGTGAGAAACCCCAATTTTCTCATAATGCGCAAATATGAGAAAATTTGGTTTTTTTGATGAAAGATTTTCAAAGTGGCAGATCACATTTTCTATTTCCGTTCACTGAATAGGAATGACTCCTCTGTATCCAAATATCGAACTGCTGTTCTCTACAATCATTGAAGAATCAAAAGAAGCTTAGGAAATCAAAAAATTGAACTTTTGGAAATTTAGCCATGTTAAGGCATTACTACCTTTACTGTCGATAGAAAATCCTAAATATATGTTATGTGAGATAGAGGAAGCATTGAACTACTTTCCCACAAAAAATCATGGGCAGGAATCAACAAAAAATTTTTTCATGAAGGTCTGCATGCCAAAACGAACTTATTTTTTAGCCAACTTAGTGTAAAAAGCATTGGAAAAAAAGAATTAGCCGAAAGTCTTCTTCTAAGACGCTCCACGACAGCTCATGGAGCGTTCTGAACTCACTTGCCCTTGCGAGTTCAGAGTTCTCCTATACAACGGAAAGTCAAATGTTGGCTATCCTTTTTGAGCTCCAGATGGGACCAACACTAGACCTGATGGATATTGCATCTTACCAAGCAATACTTTTAGGTGCTCGCTTTATCGTTTTTGTTCTCGTAAAAACCTTTTTTCCTCATCTATTTGCACTTTTTATAACATTTTTTCAATTTGCCTTCTTCAAAGAAATTTGGGCTGCATAAGCGAGCCTAAATACCGAAAACTCACCTGAAAAACACTTCACCAGCTTCCTGTAACCTCGCAAGTTTCCTCCTCTACAATTTTTGGCAAAATGGTGTGCAGGCCTTACTTCATACACATTTTGACTTCCGCAACGACTCTTTTAATAATGCTTAATGCTATTTCTTCATCAACTGTAACCCTTCCAAAGCCCACATTTGGGTTTAGCTCTACCAAGCATGAAATCAGCAACGTATGGGCAAATTCTTGCATGAATCTGTCACCTTTCTTGTGAAGCACTATCATATCTCAAATTTTCATGCTTGATACACAAGCAAAGGAAGCGTTTGCGCCCGGCCAGATTATACGCATAGTTCAGTCCCAGTCGTCTACAACGCAGCCCAATAATATCAAAAACTCAGCTTTTCTTATTCCCAAACTTTATTCCATGTATAGACTAAACTAATCAGTATCTGAGAACGCTATAAATATATCTGGTCTAAGGTCTATGAGACCTTTTGTTCATGGTAGTCTCTGTTTCAGAAAAGGCAACATCAACTCTGATTTTTTTGGATGTATACGAGCTTCCCCCGCTACCGATAATTTCAAAGAAAATTTGTTATCCTATCCTTTTTCTTTATAGGGAAGAATAACGGTTTTACAAAAAAATTATCGTTTTCTTCCCTTTATGGTAGAGGAAGGAAATGCAATGGTAAAGAGAATTCCAAGGTTGTGGAATGCGCTTCACTTCGTCAATACACTCCAAAGAAGTTTCGATTGACGCAGCTTTTCATCGAATTGATAGATCTCTGTCTTTTTTTTTTTGCTTTCACTGAACGATGCTGCGCTGTGTAGGACTTTTGTATCATAAGTGTTCTATGACTTTTCATTTCTTTCCTGCCACGAGCAATACTACAATACCGCCCGTAATTTTTGAGAATAAGACACGCACTCGCCCGATTCATGTGACATCACCGTAGCGTGGCCATATCTCGCTTGAGAGTGGACAAATTCTTAATCCGAAGGCAGTATTCAATTCAGCTCGGCGCAGCGCATTTTCTGATACACGAAAGTGCCCCTTAAACACAGTAGGAGGCCAGATTTCACGAATCGTTTCACATTTTTGCTTATGGTAACTTGTCTAGTGAGTGCATTGATTGAGCACACTGAGGACTACCGCAAGCAAAAACCTGAAACGATTAGTAAAATCGGCTTTTTCTGTGTCCAATTGGGCATCTCTATGTATAGGAAGATGAGCCGCGTCGAGCTGAGTCGGATGGTTCCCTTGGATTAAGAATTCGTTCGCTCTGAAGCGAGATATGGCCACATTACGGTGATGTAACATGAGTCGGGCGACTGTGCGTTATTTTTTCAAGAATTACGAGCGGCGTTGTACGTCTGCTACGAGTATGCATGTTATGGAAGCCGAAATGTGTCATCAATCAGTTTAATCCAATGAACACGTTTGAGTTCTCAGCAAACAGCTTTCAACCTAAGTGGTCATGATTCCCCAGTCCGCTAGACAAAGTTCATTGAATTGTACAAAAGACTTTGAAAAACTGCACAAATTTCGGTTATAAACCATGTAAGGTTTTTGTTTTCCATTAGCTGAAGCGATGCGTATGCTTCCTCCTTACAGCTCCAGGATTTTCGAATATCTACGTGGTGCACAAAACGAGCTCTATCCTAAGTGATGCTCGCTCCATTAGCTTAGTCGAGTCCAAGATCTGCCGGAGTTTACTTCACATGTTGATTGCTACTTTGCTGCTGAGATAAAGGAGGCTTCATATGCCAATTAACAAACCAATGTTTATCGCGGTCACAAAAATTAAAATGAAAAGAGTTCGACTTTTGGTCTGACTTCCAAACAGTACTTCATACAATTACCATACTTCCTATCCCAATGATCGATCTTGCCGGCATTCACGCAATACTGCTCTCTGCACTGTAATGTGAGCTTCAGCAGTGCCGAAATGATTGCAATTTGGTGTTTGGCCTTACGTGCATGCATTGATTCGTGCAGCTACTTGTAACTGGTTGATATGATCTCCAAACATCTCGAATACTAACTTGCCCACACCACTGCCCGCACTGTGATGACGTTTGAGTTAGTTTTTGTATAGATGTAGAATTTGGGAAACGAACCTCTTCTGGTGACCACTCACTGTTATTAGCGAAAAGTTCTTTGAAATAAGTACCATTGAAGTCTCCACCGTTCTCACCGCTCAACGCAACGGCTTCTTCAACTCTAGGACTTCCACCGTCGCCTTCTTCATCTCCCGAACCTCCATCGTCGCTTTCTCTTTCATGGCTTCCATTATAGTCTACGTCGGAGATCCCACTATCGCTGTCATCTTCCTCTGCAGCACATGCCAGAATTGTAAGAAGAAAGCAGAACAGCAACTGGCCGTGCATCATCAGCTGGATAAACTATTTTTTATGAATTAGCACGTCTCTATTCTCATCACTTATGAAGATGACTATACGACACTTACAAGGAAAGGAAGGTTAGTCGAAGTGGTCTCTAAAAATGAGATGGACACTACGCTGGAGGTTACGAAACGCTGCTCCCGAATTTTAGCTTTCTTATCTGCTATGGGCTTCTGGCAAGAAAATATGAAGGTTTTTATGAGCAAATTTTCACCGCATGATAAGTGTAAAATCCGTTTTCAAATTTTTTGAATTTTTCCTGGCGTTCAAATGATTCAGCGTTAGTGGATACGTTTGACTTAAGAATTTTTGTTGCACAGTGTGATCCAAAAATCATTTAAGTACTAGGAAAAATGTTACAGCTGGCTGATCCTTGCTGCACTTTTGAATTTTTGTTCATAAAAACCTTCATAACTCTTTGCTTAGAATTTCGCAGCAGATTAGGAAAGTAGATTTAAAATCAGCCTTTCTTCAAGTATCCATCTTTCAATGATAAGCCAGTTCGACTAACCTTCCTTCCCTTGTTGGTTGGTGATGCTTCACGGGATTTTTGCTCTCTGTAGTTTCTTTCTCGATTCAGGAATATTATGGAATTTGCTCAAGGCGAAAACAGTGACTTGCTTTTAGGACTCTCTTCATTGGATCAAACGTATCAAATCACCAACATGGTTTATTTTGATCAAAAGAAAACAATGATTTAAGAAGTGCTTAGGTGCTTGCTCTTTACAGTAAACTAGCTGGCTTAGCCGGCTCCGCCCGGCTCTGTCAAAACACTATGATAAAGCTCTCATCCCTATCCTTGTACAACCTTTCCGTGCGACCACGTCTACATGCCACTACTTACCCCACTGTCCAAATACCAGCCCCGTAGGTCTAACTTTGCAAATTGATGAAATCGATAAAAGTGAAGGATAGTTTTGAAAACTAATAGTGTATTACTAATCAGCTCGATTACCTCTCCCCCCCCCTATGCCAACTCCTAGCCCCGTTGTTCAAACTTGGCGAAAAAATCGATAAAATCGATAAAAGTAATAAATGATTTTGAAAACTAATAATGTATTCGTAATTACCATGTTCGATTACCCCCCCTGTGCCAACTCGCAGACCCATAGGTCAAACTGCAAGAAATCGGTAAAAACCCCTAGGCCAAATTTTGCAAAAAAATAGATAAAAATCGATAAAATCGATATCGATTGACGACGAAAAGTAGCCTATGATACCCGCCCCGTCCCGAAGTGCATGTGTGCCAAGTCTGGTCCGGATCGGTTTAGAAATAAAAATTTCTTTTCGGAACATACCTACAGACACCCACACACAAACAAACAAGCAGACATTTAGCTTTATACAGGGTGCCCCAAAAGTAGGTGTACACTTTTCAATCGTTAATATCTCTCTTCCCATTGAGTCTTTTTCCGCCGTTCGAGGACCATTCTGTAGAGAAGGCTTCAGCTTAGATACACAGTATCGAGTGTATCACCGTTCACTCTTCATTACTGTAAAATTATTGTGAGAACTTCGACAAGGATTTCACGCTATTGGAGGCCATGTTTTGCCTCGGAACAAAACCAAACATATCAAAAACTCTTATGCTATGGTAATGCTGCTAATCGAATATGAATTTCACTTTAGTGCAGTGCTTCTTTAGTTACCCAGGTGAACCGTAATAAACAAATTTCCAGCATTTATCAAAAATGTGGTTACACCGTCACAACAGCTGAAAACGCTCGTAAAAAGTTGTGTGGAACCAGAGTGCGCGAATACCTCAGTACACGATTTGTCAGATTTTTTGATGAAAAATTTGTCAGATAGCATATTTTAAATGGTTCCACATGCTGGAGGTTCTTACCGTAATCTCAGTAGTGAAGAGAGATCGATGATTTGCTCCACACTGTGTATCTAAGTTGAACCTCGCTCAACAGAATGGTGCCTCAAGCTCGGCGAAAGATATGAAAGCAGGGGAGTTATTAACGATCAAACAGAGTTTATACTTTTTTGGAACACGCTGTATATTTTGGAAAGGGAGATTTTCCAAAGATCACAACATGATTGAGTTTATTGAGAGCTGTGCAGAAGTTAATGGGTGTGGGATAGTCGCTCCCCTTATATACGTTTCATTTTCTTTATACTATGAGGACAAAATTAGACCCACATCTAGCTGTTCAAGCAATGATCGTTTTACGAACAAAAGTGCATAAGTTCTGCTGTTGGCAAATTGAAGAAATATAAGCACTGCCATGCACTGTTGCTGACACGGACTATCCATTTATAACCTATGCGTATCATTCTCTCAAATATACTTGCAAGTACTTGCAACATGCTGATCACCCCCGTGGGGGTGATCAGCATGTTCGATTACCCCCCCCCCCCTGTGCAAAATCCCAGTCCCGTAGCTCAAAATTTGCAAAAAATCGGTGAAATCGACATCGATCGATAACGAAAAGTAGCCTATGACACGCTCCCTGCCCCGAAGTATATGTGTGCCAAGTTTGGTCCCGATCGGTTCAGAAATAAAAATTTCTATTCCGCACATACGTACAGACAGACATACAGACATACATACAGACAGACATTCAGCTTTATATATAAGATAATTTCATGGCAAAATATGTCTGCACTTCTTATGATTTAGGTTTCGAAGTGAGTTCGTGCTTATAAAAAGTGACTTTCTCTTATCTTCTACCTTCCACAGAGTGTTTGCATGCATTTCAGAACTCAGGGTTCCTGCCTGAGCTTCGCGCGTCGGTTTCTTCATGTTGTTGTAGCCAGAAGGAAAAGACAAGAAAAACCGTTTTGATGCCATTCTTGATGCGCCTTCAAAGCTTAGAATGAACATTTCTAAGAATTTGCGATGTTAACTATGTTGTCTTCTTATCCTAACTATATTATGACAAACTCCTTACTTCAATGATACCAAGGACTCTTAACTTCACTGATTTTCGTCCTATTCCAAGGCAAAGGAATGACAGTCCGAGTGGGTAATAGTACTCACAAGGGAATGGTCAGAATTCGGAGTGGCCAATCCAAACAAGCTGCATACCGTTCGATGCAGCATAGAACGCTGATTTCAGATCTGTCTTCCATATGTGCAGAGCGCCATTGTAGGCGAAGTCATGAGCAGCTTTACTGCGAAGAAATCGTACACAAGAATTGCGAAATTAGGCTCATCTTTGCTCTTTTAGCTGACCTCTAGATACGGGCCATATGAAGTGACCTAGTTGCATGTTTTGGTTCAACACTGAACCAAGAATGACTTTATATGGCCAAGATTGCACTTGACACGCACAGTTTCTTAGCGAAATAATGGCTTTTAACGGCCTATGAATCATCCACAAAAGTGCTCAGCAGATAAGGAAGACATTAGAATAAGCGTTTTATGTTGCATATAATAATATGCAGTTTGCTCAATTTGGCCGCTTCGAGTTCTGACCATTCCCTTGTCAGTGCGATATAATTGTAGTAGAGGAGTATCGCAAGGTGGTATTCTTTTCCCCTCACTTTTTCTGTGTATGTTGCCGAGCTACCAGCATGGTTGAAAACACACACCGAGATCAAAGTGTTTGCTGATGGCATCAAAGTCTTTTTTTAGTGCTCTGAGGACCAACAGACAGAACCTTTTGTAGCGCTCTCTTCATCAATCCAAAGAACGCTAGCTTGTTCGAAAAATTGGGAAATTCAATGCCTCTTAGACTACCGTTATGCATCCCAGTGAATCCCCTTATAGTACCTACAGCTGATGGCGTCGATCTTGAGAGCGCCTGTGTTGTAAGAGGCCTCGGGGAATGATTGACACTTCATTCAGTTTTTCTTCTCAGCTCGAGTGTAGCAAAAAGTAATTTACAGTGCTTCACAGTTCTTAGAAGTATACACAGTAAAGATCCTAGGATTTTTTGAAACTGCACAAGAGCTGCGTATACTTGATCTGGAATATGCCCCTTCTGTAAGGAGCCCTTTTCTCAAGAAGCACTAAAAAACTGCAAAGGAATATTCAGAAAGAGTTTTTGAGCGAGTCGAGCTTGTGTTTTCTTACTAAATATTAGGCTTGGTTTTTCTTTTGTTTTTTCTGATCTTCAATGCTGCTCCTGTTATTCTGTTTTTTATTTCTACTTATGGGCGCACATAGAGTGCATCAAATAAAAAAGTTAAAGACATGGTCAGTAAGGTTGCCACATCTCCTGATTTGCTCAGCAATAGTAACTGCTTCAAAATTCATTTGTCAATTTGAGTGGAAACGGAAATGGATGTCTGTTTGGCCTAGTAAGCAGGCACTCAACAGGGAAACACCGAGGAAGGACTGACCCTTACTCTTCAACGTTCGGAAACGCTCAACCCAAGGATCCAAGAGCTGCAAAAAACGAGTAATAAACACAACATTTTGCATTGTCTTCCGTGCATCCCATGCCGATAAATCATAATGTAAACAACAAATTCTTGCGTACGGCAAGGGCTCGTCTGACAATACCTTCGAATCCATCTCGTTCAGCGAAAACTCTTGATGTAGCACAATGTGGTTATTCACGCCATAAGGTGCAAAATCTAGCCGTCATGCTACTCCTCCTAGTGTAACCAATTCTGACAAGACGCCATTCTGCGTACTTGACATCGAATGCACTAAAAAGGGAATGATAGTCAAAGTGCCCAATACAGACAGTGCATACATACCATTGAGTCTCTTAACCTCGTCTACAAAGGTATCAAATGCATCATAGAACGCAGAACTCAAACCTGCCATCCATATCTGCTGAAGTCTTTCCAGGCGAAGTTATGAGCCATCACATTCGAAAAGATCGTGTATAAAATGCGAATTCGGCCCTACAACACCTTGTATGGCTTTATTCTGGGCCAGAACATGCAGTGGTTTACTACATATAGCCCTACCTAGACATGAGCTAAAAAGCAATAATGTGCCTGATTAAGCAATTTTTTATGTACGATTTTCTAGCAGTAAAACTGCTTTTAACCTTGTATAGAAAGGCGTTCAGCAGATACGGAGTACAGTCCTGCAGTTAGCGTTTTATGCTGCTCGCGGCTCCGCCATGTGCGTAGTCATCACCTAAAACTACAGTCGCATTGGTAAAATGCAGCTTTCTACACAAAAAAAAATTATTTTACATGAACATTAAGTAAATCAGACGTTCTGTATAGTAGACTTTGGAAACTTTGGACAAATAAAAGACCAAATAAAGTTTCGAGAAAACATTCGAATATATTTGCATTCGATGTTTAAAACTCGAAGTTTTCCATTTTTTTATCAATCTGAACCGAATTATTTTAAACCAAGACCCAGCAATTCTATTTGAATGTTTCATTCGAATTCGTATCGACTAAAATTGTAATCGAATTATTCGAGTTCTGTGCAGCTCCACAACAATAAAATCGACTACCAGCAAGTTTTAGATATGGTTATTCTAGATATTCGAATAATGTGATCAAATGATCTATCCGAACGTTTAGCCATTCGCATCGTTCGAGATTTAATCGAAATTCGAAGCTCATCGTTCGAATATAATCGATATTCGTTTATTCGCTGTTTTTGATTTTCGATTATTCGTTAATCGTTCATTGAAGACTTTCGAGTTTCAGATTTCGTCGATATTCGTTAATTCGATAATGTCGATTTTTCATTATTATTCGATATTCGTTGGTTCGTTTATCACTTGAAATTTATCCATTTAATGAAAAATTTTGAATTTCGCGAAGTATATCATATAGGAAGCCTACTTCTATAATCTCACTCAAAGCCTTTATTTTTGGAGTCCTTCCAGTATACGATCTTCTTGACCATCGATAAATCTGGGAATCCTGTAATCCTGCCTATTATGTTTAGTGAAAGGAATGAAACCATGTAGGATAAATTTTCTTTTTTTCCTAATGAGTGAAGATTTACATATGACGAAGCGGTACTTCGGTCAACCTAGCCTGGAGAGTTCCGATTATTGCAACTTGTTATAAAATTCGAAGATTATCTGTTTTTTTTTCACGTTCATCAAACAGAGCAGTCTCTGCGTAGAGAGTTTCAATCACAAGTTATTCTCTGAATTTCTATCAGTTTTTTACATCATTAATGGGCCTGTCAAAATTTGGAGTTTATGGGATCAGGTTCTTTTAGTCAGTTCAATCACAGATCAGCATGCATTTGAATTCTCAACACTCATAATGTAATCTCGATGATCGTAACACTCTTAGATTTCTAAAACAGGTTAGCGGAAGAAGATGGATTGTGCTTGTAGTTGAACGAAGCTTTCCAGCATTTCTTGGACAACTTCTGCTGCGTTAAATGGTTCTTTGAGGTGGCTTTGAATGCATGCTTGATCGGTCGCAAAATTAAGGCGTTTCTTTACATGATTCAGAATTCCAAAATGTCTACAAAGTACACAAAACGAGCCCTACTGTGGGAGACATACCCTGTTGCCGCTTATGGCCTCGGGCATACCTCACGCGATTTCAGTCGCCACGCGATTTGGCAATACTCCAAATGTTCATAACTCATCCTACGGGGTTTCTGAATGTACGGAAGAGGGAGCATTTTATCAATCTACGAAAGTTATACATGCTGTGCATTTGAGGTCTTCCAGTATTGAATTTGAAGACATATGGCAAATTGCCAGATCGCGTGGCGACGGAAATCGCGTGAGGTATGTCCCTTGCCTATCAGAAACCCATGGAATATCTGCCACAGCTTACTTACATCTACAGTCCACTGTCGAATCATTTCATATGATCATGTGTGTCATCGCAAACATTGTCCACCTTTAGCGTTCCAATCGATTCTTGAAGCAGAAACCCTTAGATAATTGATCTCGATGTGTTCTCACTGTTTTTTTAGGTACTAATCACCTCAGATTGATGTAAGCAATGACAATTGGTCAATCTTTTGCCCTCTTTGCCACTGCAACACCAGGATGAGGAGCCAAAGGTGGACGATGTGTGTAATGGCACACACGATCACACAAGATGATTCGACTGTACGCATTTTGCTCTTGTGCAATTAATAAACAGTTTCTTGTACCAACTAACAAATCAGCATTTATTGGCTCAGCAAAATCATATCATTACGACATGGGTATGAGTCCGAGTGCTGGTTTGTGATTTAAGCATTGCTTCATGCAATTACCATGGGTCTTCCAAGTAGTCTTACTGATGTCATTGTGTTTACAGTAACTCTTTTGGCACTGTAATATATATGTGAGTTATTCTGCAAATTCAAACTGGTAAGACTTCGGGTCCTTACAACTTTCCAGCAGTAAGTCACACATTTTTTGTCGCCCTTTTTCATGGAGTAACGGCTATATCCAATTTCATCACAAAATTTTCCGCACTGAAATGACATTTGAATTGTCTAGAACTGTACCAATTAGAGCTTGGTAGAGATCAAACCTTTTCTTTCGTCCATTCCTTGTCATAATCCCAGGTGTCGTTGGAATCTTGTTTATCACTGCTCCCCACATTGGAAGGGGTTCCAGTGGAAGCTTGTTTTTCACTGCTTCCCACATCGGAAGATTTTCCTTGTTGGGAAGAAGTGGCAGGGCCTCCACTATCGGTTTCATTCTGTTTAGCAAATACAAGCGTCGATAGTAAAAGGAAGAACAGCGCTCGATTTTGCATCATCCACTAAACGATGATCTATCATGATTTGTGGACATGTTACACTCTGATTTGAACCTTAAGAAAAACCTATATGAGTAGGATAACTGCAGTCGATTGCTTCTACACATAAAGAGTTTTTTACTGCTGGCAAAACAGAGCTTTGGACAGCCAATGACGCTTAGACTTGTATTTGGTCAAAAAACTCTCGAAGTTATTTTAATCAGAATAAAGACTACAGTTGTGCTCAGACGCTTGCTACAACGTGTAGCTTTCTAGCTTATGGGAATTTCGCCCAGGCAGATATTTTGAACTTTCTTAAAATTTTTAACGGCTAAAAAAGAGTTGCCAAGTGACAGGAATTGATTCTAGCAGTACACACGGTAAAAAATAGTTACAGTGACTTAGTAAGTCGCCATGTCATACTCATTGACTTCATCCTTTACGATACAAATGCTGCAGTACTGATTTGTCATTTGGAGAAGTGGATGAAGTGCATAGCTATAAGATGCGCTGAAGCTTTTATGTTAAAATCTTTGCAATGTGTTCCCCAATCTTGTTCCCTTGATACATAAAGGGCAATGATGTAGTACTCTTTTGAGCCTTGCGATTTTATTCAGCAGTAAATGTTGCACGCGGCACAGCTAACTCCATGCTTTGGCGCAATACATTTACCTACCTGAATTAATCATTGCAAAAAGTGAAGTTTGATTGCTACCAACGGTTTTATCTCGTTATGCGCCTCTCTTTGGCAAGAACACCAAAGATTACTCGTAGCCTTGACTGGCTTAAAGTTTATGTGCCAAGGAGATGACCACAAAAGGAGATCTATGTAACAATGATCTATGTAACACCCCATATTACCGGAAGAATTTATGATTGATTTGTCGAGAATGATAACAGGAGAAGACTGACGGAGGTGCCGTCAGATAGAAAACGTGGCGATGCGTCAAGAAATGGTGTATGGATCATTTTGCATATTTTTCTATTGAACAAGATATAGGGATAAGTAGCGATACAATTTTATTCTTGTCAGAGCAAAAATATCGGTCGCTCTTGTGCATAAGTAGGTTTCATTCGTTAGCGGGAGCAGAAAAGTCCCCGAACAGTTCTATCTAAATTTTGTCTCTACTACACGACTCTGACACTATTTCCACAGATTCAAAGATCCACAACGCGCTTCGGTGTAAAAGTCAGCATGATCCTACTTTGAGGCTCTCAAACGTAACATCGGGTATCTAGAAGACATTGGATTCTACAGGCAAGTTGAAGTTCTTTGAGATGAATAAGAAGGCAGTTACATCAATGCGACACTCTTGATGCGACATTGCGCTTTCGCCTTTTTTATATCAATTTCATCGAGAGCAAAGTTCTGATTTCCGATACAAGAACCAAAGCTTAATAGAAGCGATTTCATGTTATAACGACGGCTCCAATATGGCGTTTATTTCGCGAGCATCCCATAAATATATTTTATATTTCGATTTTACATCTTCAGGTAGCGCTGGTTTTCAATATCTGAAGCGGAGTTTGGCAGAAGGGACAAAAAAAAATCATACCAATGAGGCAACATTTCAGTTTTTGAGTACCTGTGCTGTATGCTGGTCAGCTTGGTGGACCGCAAACAATCAGCAGTTCTTCTTTTGAGATTTTATAGAAAGCCGTTTTAAATAGAAAATCTTAAAATTGCAGGATTTTTAAAATATTCATCACTTTTGCGTGATGACGACTTGCAGACTCATTTTCCTTAAGAAGCTACTTTCAAACTGAAATGAGCTTCTTACTGTGCTGAAAGTGGGACAAGGTAGAATGGAAGCTTCGTAATTTGACATTGGACGAAGATATATCAAAGCAGAAATGGAAATCTGGGACCTGCAGATAGTCCAACGCGGCCAATGTGCAAGATTTGTTATTTTGCGCAGCCCAAACTCAAACGGTTAGAAGAAGTAGAGGGTCGTTCAGTTAAAACTGGCACTACAATATTTTTGAAAAATGCCGCTTATCTAAGCTAATAACCATCTCGAGAAGAGTTAGTCTTTATTTCAGGTCTGATATTCCGTTTACACTGACACCAACATAAGTTTTGAAATTAGGATCTGCGTCATTTGCACACAACGTTGCTTCTCGAAACTCTTGGACCAAGTGACACTCATGGCTCGTTTATTCGTATTTCAATTCTCGTCTATTTTTGATTTTATGTATAACGGTCGAGATTCGTGTAAGTTTATTACGCAACAAACTTTCCATTTTGCTTTCCCGAGAAAGCTATAAGCGTTTGATTCTAGCAAAATTGATGGTTCAAATTCGCTTACGTGTCTGGAGTCAAGCATAAAAGAAATATATGGCATCGCGATCGATTGCTGTTGTTGTTGGTAAGCGATGAAAAAGATTTCATAAATGATGGAGCTATGTGCCTTGGACTACTTTGTCTTGCAAACGGAGCGTGATTTGTGGACCACGCCTATAATAATCCATTCCAGTTAACCTTGTCTTACCATTTGTGAAATTTTCAGATCAGAAGCTAAATTTGTTTTGGGTTTTTATGGAGAGACTTCCTTTTATAGCTTGGCTCTGGGATTATCAACCGTCTGGAGACAGTGATGGGCACTGGAAACTTCTAAATAGTCTTCCACAAGGCATCCATCAGATCGGTCACGGCAGCTATTGGGTTGCTTTGACAGTTCACAACCCCTCAAATTCTGACAGGGAGAGGATACTTGATCGAAGGCACCAATCCAGTTGGGACATATATCATCTTGAAGCTTGAAACGCTGATTCCAAATCCGTAGTTTCTAGCTGCGGAGCGGTTTTGTAGAAGGAGTTGTGAGGGGTGTTTCCTCTGGGGTTGACGCGCCCTCCAGCAGGACTCCCCTTATCTATGAGCACTGTAGAGGAGTACCAACTGGTGGCAACTGGCCTAGTGGTAAGTGATTTGAATGAAGATTACATAAGGATTATAATACTCATATTACTTTGGTATTCTTGATTCTAACTTCGATAAGCATCAGTGTTATCGGAAATTCCAGGCTTTAGGGCTCTAAAGATGATTAGAAGCTCAATTTTGCAAAAATAGCGACAAAGTTGCGAAGGGTATTATCACTTACCACTAGGCCAGTTGCCCTACTTGATACTCCTCTACAGTGCTCATAGAGAAGGGTAGAACTGCAGGAGGGCGCCTAAACCCTAGAGAGAAACACCCCTCAAAACTCCTTCTACAAAACCGCTCCGCAGCTAGAAACTACAGATTTGGAATCAGCGTTTCAAGTGCTTTAAGATGATATATGTCTCATCTGGATTGGTGCTTTCGACTAAGTATCCTCTCGTTGTGATTTCTCACCTTGTTGTCAACCCTAACTGGCAGCCATGCTAAAGTTTGGAAACGTTTTCATGACTCATGGGCCCGTAGTAAACCCCCGAAATATGTCGTGATGTAAAGAAACCGAGAACACGACTTGTCCGACTGAAGGACGTGCTGCTCACGACCATGTTATGGTCGCCGCAAAACATACGACCGCAGCGCGATCGAACTACTCGTTGCCTTGACGGCGCGCACTGCCACTGCGCTATTGATTCTCCTCGAACCAGAAAAAATTAAAGCTAAAACCAGCGAAGCAAAGATGCGGCAGGCAGAACACGTGCTTACTGCTTGAGAGCAAATCCATAAGCAAGCCTTATGTGTGTTGACCTTTATATAAGTTGTAAAAGTATACACAGCCTTCCCCGAGCCACTATCAAAGCGCGGTACTGGCGGCAACTCTACAAGAGGTGCGCATAGCCCAGTGCCAGTGTTGGGTGGCGCTGAGCTAAGGGCGGCGGGTACGAATGCCATGTGGGCCACTGTTTTGCAACTTGCTGGCTAGTTAGTTTTTATGTAATTAAACAAAATTTGTAACTTTTGGTAGTGGGAAGTCATTGCAAAACATAAATCACTGGCAATACACGAGAAATTTAAAATATTGTAAAACTATTACTACTTTGGTTGGTGCAAATATGAGCAATATCATTAGCCATAACGCCAAACGGTTCCCTTCCCCAAATCATGAGGGAAACGCTGGACGCACAGCCAATGAACAGCATTTCAGCGTATAAACATTATAAAAGCTGCTCAAATAAAAGAATTAAGAGACTAAGACATGCAGAAGGAAAAATTTGGTGCACAAATAAGTTGCAATGTGAGAATCACAAGAAAATATTCAAACACGATAAGACACCAGAAAGTAGAATTCTGGAGTAAATCATAATCAAAATAAACTCACCTTTTTTCGATTCCAAGAAATATAGCAGTAGAAATGCTAAGAAAACGGAATAAGACGTTCGGCGCGTTACATTTGGGCGCTTATCAGCTGTTGATATCGATTGCATTCGGCGTGCGTTGAACCCATTGCTGTGTGCCTACGGCCCTTGCACAAGGTCGCGAGCTCGGCGTACTCGACCCCTAGTCACTTGCGCCTTTCTGCGTCTCCACGCTGGGCCCACTATTTCTATTTCTCTGCCCCTTAAGTGACGACGTTCACAACGTGCTCGTCCTATGCGCGCGAGGACGAGCACGTCCTGCAGTCATGACGTCGTGCGATTTCGCCGCGCGGCTGTGATAAGAGATAGGCGCGCGACAAAACGCTGCCGAAACGAAACGTGCTGGGTACGTGCGATGTTTCGAACGTCGCGACCCTCATGACGGGGGGGGGTTACTACGGGCCATGGTGTCGATAAACGTGAAGGTCCTTTGAAGGATCTCGAGTTCGTATGTGGTGGGACTATGTACTATATTTGGACTAGTTTGGCGGTTGCAACCGGAGCGTGATTTGCGGTTCATGCCTATAATACCCATTCCGGCTTTTTAACTTGTCTTGACCATTCGTAAAGTTTTCAGATCAGAAGCCAAAATTGTTTTGACGGTTCTATTTGAACAGACTTTCTTTCTGAGCTTCATTTGTTAGACCGCAGTCGCAACAATAAAGGCAAAAGCCAGGCGGAGAGGAGGAGGAGGCAAAAAAGGTCAAAGGGAACTTCGAGAAATTTTTCGAAATTAAAAGGGACTTTGTTTCAAAATCTCAGGTTGAGATAGCGCCAAGTTCTGTTCCCGGCAAACATCTGAGGCTGCTGCATAAGTCCTGTCCGATTTAATTTTTGAAAAAGTTAACTTCTTTCCATAACCTTACCCTCTGTGTGTTGAGCAGTTCTTTAGCTTTCAGAGAAATACTAACTCTTGCGAAAGACTCTGTTGAAGAAAAAGCAAGAACTCGAAAACCTTACGGCGTACTCTTCGAATCTGTCTTCTATGACGTGATATGCTCTCTAATAAAAATTGACAGGCGCATTAAGCAGCCATGGATGGATAGAGAAAATTTCGAAGATTCTTCTATGCCCATAGGATCTTCGGTGCCGAGAGATTTTTTTTGACCGAATGAAAACACAGCCGTTTTTCAACTTCGTTCTAGTACATGTATGTATGTCAACCTTCAAATTATAAATTTAGACCTGCCGCGAGGGGTGAAAAGCAAATGGTGGCTGGGATCTGCTAGCCCTTGCTTTACTCTAGCACCTCCAACATTAGATTCATCGATTGCTGCTATTCACGCAATGTTATTGCATGTAGAACTTTTGTACAGATGATTATTTTCCAATAAGAATTTCACTAGCAAGAAGTTCTTCGCATGAAAGTGACTTTGGGCATATACTGGATTGTTTCACCCTTATTCCGCGACTAACACAAGGACTTGACTTGAAGAGCATATTGTGGAGATTTTTTCGCAATAACTTTTTCTTGGCTGAGAACGTGTCTCGACCATCAGGGGAACATAGGCCTGCAACCTCGTCAGACTAGAGATTTCATCGAAATATGATATGGGTTAAAAGTAGAAAAAAAATGATTTCTAACGGTACAGTAATATCGCATTACGATTGAAAATCTCCTAGAAGGCTGCTTTGAACGTAAGGAAAAATCGGACAGCTCAAACAGCAGATCAGTAACA